TGGTCAGTATTACTGCCATCTACAGCCTGATGGCAGTGGTCTTCATGGCCAAATCCTGAAGAGGAGAGTCCCACCTCCTTCATATGGGCACCAGCTGATGTGATCTGGAACTGCTGGCTTTGTGGAGCCCACCTGTATGGTGCTGTCTGGCGGCTGTATCTGGGAACGAGTCTCAGTTTTTTGCCTGACTCTCGTCCAGGCTGGAGTGCAGTGGCACTCTCACGGCCACCGCAGCCTCCACCTGCTGGGCTTAGGCGATCCTTCCACCTCAGCCTTCCAAGTAGCTCATACTAGAGGCGCGTGCTACCACGCCCGCCTTATTTTTTAATTTTATTTTATTGTAGAGATGAGGTCTCACCAAGTTGCTCAGGCTGGTCTAGAACCCCTGGGCTCAGGCAATACTCTCACCTCGGCCTCCCAAAGTGCTGGAATTACAGGCTGAGCCACCATGCCCAGCCCCCAGCAATTTTTTTTAAAGAAAGTTTTGTAGAGACAAAGTCCCACTATGTAGCCCAGGCTTCTTTAATTTTTTTTTTTTTTTTTTTTGTGATTCAGAGTCTCACTCTGTCCCCCTGGCTAGAGTGCAGAAGCATGATCATGGCTCATGCAGCCTCAACCTTCTGGGCTCAGGCGATTCTTCTACCTCAGCCCCCTGAGTAGCTGGGAATACAGGCATGCATTACCATGTCTGGCCATTTTTTTGTAGAGAAGAGGTCTATCTTGCCTAGGCTGGTCTCAAACTCCTCGGCTCAAGCAGTTCTCTCACCTTGGCCTCTCAAAGTGCTGGATTACAGGCATGAGCCACCACACGTGGCCTTTTAAATTTAATTTTAAAGAAGAATGAAATACAGACCAGTATTTCGGTATTAAGATTTTCAGTCAATTTTTGATTAAAAAAAAAAAAAGATGGACAACCAGTAGGTAATATTCCTTTCAGAATTATGAATTTAAATCACTATTTGTCGTAAAAAATATTTCATTGACCTATTGCCTAATTAGCAGTATTTGCAGATTAAGTAATCCATGATATATATACAATCAGGATCCCCCCACAACTCCCCCCAAAACAACACCACCACCAGCCGTTGCCTCTCTAACGGCTGTGGTGTGGCCATGTGCTCTTGGAGCTATGGTCAGGCCATATTTCCTGGTTTTGGCCCCCTCTTTCTCTCTAATTTACTTTCTAAATAAACTATATTTTCTAATTAAAACAAAACCAAGAAACAACAGCAAAAAACCCCCCAGAATTGGGCGAGATGTCTGTGATCTCAGCACTTTGGGAGGCTGAAGTAGAAGGATCACTTGAGGCTAGGAGTTCAAGACTAGCCTGGGCAACACAGTAAGATCTCATTTCTACAAAAAATAAAAAAGGTCGCTGGGTGTGGTGGTGCATACCTGTAGGCCTGGCAAATCAGGAGGCTGAGGCAGGAGGATCGCTTGAGCCCAGGAGTTCAAGGCTGCAGTGAGCTGTGATCATCATCACTGCACTCCAGCCGGGGCAATAAAAGTGAGACCCTATTTCGAAAAAAACAAAAACAAAAATCCAAAATGTGTCCCAGACTCTGAAATATAAATTTGCTTAACAGTACTTGAGTTACGCTATTAGACTTTGAGATACTAAAAACAGTGTTTTGTGCTACATGTGTATGAAAGCCTAGGTTTACGGTTGCTCTGCTGTTTCCAAGGGCACAGCTCTGCAGACACATCTGTACAAGATCTGATGTTCCAAGTGCTCAAATATTCCCTCCTAAAAGAAAAAGTGCCTGTAATCCCACGCCTTGGGAGGCTGAGGTGAATGGATTGCCTGAGCCCGCGGGTTCGAGACCCACCTGGG